GATTAGAAAAGAAGGGTATCTCGTGTATGCGCAAGTAGTGTTTGTAAGCTTCTTTGGGGGCAGCTTATGAGGTTGGGTCGCATTTATCACTCGAGCTCTGGATGTCTCTCCACTTGTCAAACGACGCTAGCGGTGACGTCGAGCCCTGACGCGGAGCGAACACAGGGAAGGTTCGAGAAGCTTCAACCACAATGCCATATCCCGACCATCACAAACTCTGATGCCGTGTACCATGCGCTTGGGATCGAAATTAGAAACCTGAATTCGTCGCACAGGGATCGTATCGAATCGACGTATCTAGCAATGAGCTGGCGCGCTCCACCTGACGACGCGCGCTTGCCGTTCCTCGTGGTCTTCCTTGACGCGCCCCGCTCTTGCAGTCTAAGAAGCTTCACTTCACCACGTGAAGCCTCGCAGCTGAAATGAAGTCGCTATGCGTTAAATTTGTAGGATTTACGGTTCCGGATATGCCGAACGCGTCATTGCGTTGCGAGCTTCCTGTCTCAACTGACAGCTTGAGGTGGTTTTCCAGTAGCTATTTCACGATGCAATGATCCAGCGCCAGCCCAAGCACGCCGCCGAAGTCCTTCGAATCCACTGGCTAGCGAGCAACTCCCTGAGCACGTTTCTAGTCTAAATGCAAGACATGTCATTATAGGTTTCGCGACACCAATGGACCAGGTACACTACCTTGACCTGTTGGCGTGCACATCGAGGTTAATGCCAAGTCTGAGACTGGTGTCAATGGCTCACACAAGTCATGAGTGCAGCCTACGAGAAACACAGCGCATCAATGACATCCACGTGAAAGATCAGGGATGTGAAATTTAAACAGTGAATTGAACATGTCTAGCGATACGCTATGTCGCACTTCAACACGCAATCGACCACCTTTGTCGCAGAAAGCTTCGACGCGCCATAAAACGCCAGCATGCCCATGATCCCCAACGCCATTTTTCCGGTATGCTACATTAAAGAAGCTGGTATCCAAGGATAGAGTAGTAGTAACTATGACATGTACACGGTTCTGGTGTACAGCGCTTGTACAGGCAACAGCGATGCGCGCTGTCGCTTTTTGGTTCGGACGTCCATCGTTCATAGCTGATCGTTTAGTCGGAGTCGCTGTCAGAATCACCCTTGCTCTTCTTCTTGTCCTTCTTGGCGGCCTTTTCGGCCTTCTTCGCAGCCTTCTCTTCCTTCTTCTTGCGCTTGCGCTCGGCCTTGTCCTCATCGGCCTCATCATCACCGTCACCGCGGCTCTTGCGCTTCTTGCTCTTCTTGTCGGTCTCAGCTTCCGCCTCGGCCTCCTCAGTAGAAGTAAGACCCGTAGCTGGGATCGCAGGAGCGGCGAGAACCTCAGAGGTCGAAGTTGTCTGGGCAAGAGGAGCAGAGGCGCCGTCGACATCGTTCCTGTTAAAGTCCTTGTACTCAGCGTTCCACTTGGAAGGAGTCTTGTCGTTGGGGCGACCGAATTTCTGAGCATGTCAGTATAGCACTCGCAAATCTGAAGTTGATCACCTACGTCAAGAGTGCCAGCCTCCTTCATCTTCTTCTTCTCGGTGGCGACTGGGCCCATGCCCCACCTCCTGGGGTAAAGGTCGCGCTCCATGATGACACGCTTGATCTTCGCAACAACACCGTGGTCGCACGATGACATCTCGACAGCCGACATTTGCGCGTAAGCGAGCGCGATAGCCTCACCCTTGGTGGTCATGAGGACGATCTCCTCGTGGATCTCAATGCCCTTCTCGAATCGCAGGAGACCAGGAAGCATGAGCTTGGCACCGTAGCAGATGGCGTTGACAGAGCTGTCCTTGACCACGATTCGCTTGTAGCTCATCAACAGACTCTCCAAAGGTGCGATGACCTTGCGCAAGTAAGCCTCGTCGCGGTTGTTGTCGTGTAGCCATTGGGCATCGAGAACGTCGTGCAGAGTGACCAAGTCCTTGGTCTCGTCCATGGCTCCACTCCTGACACGGCGGAGCTCCTGCATGTGGGCGCCAACACCGAGCAAAAGACCAAGATGCACGCAAAGAGTACGGATGTAGGTTCCAGCCTCGCAGCTGACCCAGAAGACACCGAGCTGCCTCTCGTTGTCAAACTCGTATAGCTTGCTCTCGTGGATGGTTCGGATACGGAGTTGACGCTTGACGGCGGAAATGAGCGGGGGACGCTGGAAGAGAGCTCCGGTGAGCGTCTCAAGGGCACGCGCAAATTGCGCCTCGCCTCCAGGGAGCTTGTCGTGCATGCGAATGACGCAGACATACTCCTTTCCGGCTCCCTGCTGGGACTTGACGAGACGGGTAGCGCGATCAATGCAGACGATGAGGCAACCAGTGACCTTGGGGTCGAGGGTACCACTGTGACCAGTCTTCTCGACTCTTTGGCACGCGTTAGCTGAAGGCGCTTGGAAAGAAAAGTCACGAGTGCTTCCTACCTCAGCATGCGCTTGATCCATGACACGACTTCGTGAGAGGATGGGTTGGAAGGCTTGTCGAGGTTGATGACACCGGAGCTAATGTAAGACTTGAGGTCTCGCGACAGCGGTGTGCATCCATTTGGGATGGGAGTGTAGTGCGATGTGCGAACGAGCACTGTACGCGCATTAGCAAAGCATTCTGGAGCTATGGGGAAGCTGCAGCATACGGTCGCTGTAGTTTTTGAGCAGGAGCGGCCAGTCGCTCGTGTCGATGGCAGGCGCAGCCGCCGCTGGCTTGATCACATACGCGTCGGGGTCGGTCTGCACGAGAGCCATGGCGATTATTGTGTCGAGGGTTGGTGTTGCAATTGGCGATGCGATGTTCTCGAACTTTTTCACAGCAGACAGTATTTTCGCGCCGCTCAAGCTATTGGACGCTATTGGGCGCTAAAGAACGCTCGGACCATCACACCGGATCTTTGTCGGACCGTTGTCTAACACGCATCAGATGTTCACTAGACAACTATATTCAGGAGCGGTTCCGTTATGGCGAACTACCAACAAGTCAGATGTACAACACGCTGCGATATTGTTATAGATTTCTTGAACATCATGTGTGTATTATACGCCGCCTGCAACTACAATGCGCTCTTTCTGCGCAGTAATCTACTTCCAACTCTGATCATTCTAGTTCACTACCTGTCCATGCTCATTGCTGTGCAAAGTGGTAATATCTCCACTGCGGACGCCCTGTCTCTCGTTCAAGATCTCGTCATCTCCTGTACTGCGCAGCGTGGTGCCGTCCATCTTGCCATCGACACCGCGCCTAACACCAGGCTCGACCAGACTGCCCGCTCCACTAGGTACATTTGGCCAGAACTCCTCTTCAGCGTCTAACAGGGCCCTCCAAATCGGATCAATCCTGCTCTTGACCTCTGCCCATCTTGCATCATCTCGGTCAACAGCGTCGCTTACACCCTCGTTGACAATGCGCTCAAGCTGCTCAACGAACATGAGGAAGTCGCGATTTGACCAGTTGGGAATAAACTCTCTGCGCATCGCACCGCCGTCTTGGTCGCTGTCGTAGTTCCGAGGAGAAGACTGGGCATCTTGTCGGCGGGCCCAGGACCAGGCCTCGTAGTATACCTTCTCGGTCGACCATAGTAGAATGGCGCCTTCGAGCCATGGCATGAATGTGTTTGGCTGTTGGGAAGCAACACTAGCGAACAGTGCTTCATAGCGACGGAGACCTTCGGATTTGACGTTCTCCTGAAGTGGTGAAGGGGGAAGATCAATCTTGTAGATCTCAGCAACTTCTTGGAAGAACCGCAGCTCCCTCTCTCCATTCTTGATAGCGGATTCTAACCACGCAATGAATCGCGTGGGAATGTCTGGCTCCTCACCAGGTGCAGTCGTTGACTTGTGCGTACTGCGGACGAGGTTGAGGGTGTGGTTGATAGTAGCAAGATAACCTTGAAGGTACTGCCTGTCGTTTGCGAGCCATTGTGCGATCAGAGGCTTTGGTAGGGTACCCTTTGCGGCACGCTCGAGGAAGGGGTGTCTTGTAACGCGGAGCAATTGTTCGTGGTTGATGGCGAGGAGATGAGTTGTGACTGCCCAAGGGACATTGGTGGGGTCGATGTCGCTCTTGCTGGCCCAGGTTCCGGGGTGGTGGTGAGGCATGGTAAGTATCGTTCGCGTAGGATCTGTGTTATCTGTATTGAACGGTGTATGTATTCGATGAGGTACATCCTGCGGAGCTGGCGGGGTAGCGAGCTACTTATATGCTACATGAAAGATGCTTGCCAAGCGACACGATGGCTCCGAGGATCACAATTACGTGTTGAGGCTGAGGGTACAAGGACGTGTGGCGTTGCCAAGTAGGATTGATGGTGTTGAATGTGCGCATGACGTCGGACAAGGACCATCGGAGTTTGCGACGCTCTGAGTGGTGCAGGCGTACGGCAAACCGGAATCTAGAATCCCAACTCGGAACTTGGCAGTTGAATTCGCAGCGGAATTCTTGGCATCGAACAATTTGATACTTGTCCAAGCTATACTCTGTGGCTGAAGCAAGGCGGACTGCTTGGCGAATGACGATGCCGCCACTTTTGAGCTGCTGCTGGTGTGATAGTTTGAGGGTGCCGGACACAGCTCGGGCAGTGAGATTAGTATACAAGGTCACGCGACCGAGATTTTAAGTTAAGGAACATGGTGTTTGCCGGTTGAATTGAACTTGTCCCGGCATATTGCCAGTCGTTCGATGGTCACATTGCTTGGTCGAACGCGGATGCTCGGTGGCTGTGGTTCGTAAGACGAGCGGACGTGGTGAAGAGGAAGAAAAGTCACGATTCAATGTAAGATAGGAGGGCATTGGTAAGAACAACGGATTTTGACGATGGTTTTGTAGCTATTGGTGAGATGCAGACATGAAGGATGGTAATGAGTGAAGGTGCCCCGAAACCTCGGTCGCCCGTGCTAGCGCGGCGCGTCATACTGCAGCCTCCACCTCGAACTTTCTTGCGACCGACCGTCGACGCCAACCCTAGCCAAACCAGCGGGCTATCCACACAGCACGATCATGGAATTCTCTGCAGACGACGAGCAGGCTCTCAAGCAATACCTGCCCAGCGAATTTGGAAAGAAGGATGGCTCCGTGAACGTCGAGGCGCAAATCGAGCGCGCGCGTAGGCCAGTGGTCGATGAGAGCAAGCAGGCAAAGAAGGAGAAAGGGTCGGACGACGAACAGGATTCGGACGATGATAGCGATATGAGCGATGAAGAGGACGAATACCCAGTTTCTCACGAACTGGTCATCAAGACGCACGATCGCGCGGTCACGACGATTGCGCTCGATGCATCCGGTACGCGGCTGGTGACTGGAGGGAACGACTGCACGCTCAAGCTGCACGACCTTAGCGCACTTACCCCGAGTACTATCCGCGCTTTCAAGACGGTCGATCCTTTCACCACCAAACCCTCGCAAACCGCCGAGTCGCATTCCATACACCAGGTTGTGTTTGGCCCACACTCTGGAGGCCAATTCCTGTGCATTACTGCAACATCACAGGCGAGGCTGTTCAGCAGGGATGGAGAGCTTATATCAGAGTTTGTCAAGGGCGACATGTACCTGAGGGACAAGCACAACACAAAAGGACATACGGCAGAAATCACAAGCGGCGCATGGCACCCCACGAATCGCGACCGCTTCGCTACAGCAGGGACAGACAGTACAGTGCGGATATGGGACGTGAATAAAAGGATGAAGCAGGAGGAGGTCATCGTACACAAGTCAAGAGCTGCTGGTAGCGCGGGCATGACAAGGATGACGGCCATTGCATGGGGCGCCGCAGCCGAGGGAGGGAGCAGTATGCTGGTGTCAGCAGCACTCGACGGAAGTCTCGTCATGTGGGGTGGTGAAGGACCGTACCACAGGCCGACAGCAGAGATCAAAGAAGCGCACGCGAAAGATACTTGGACGAGCGGACTGGATATCAGTGCAGATGGCAGGCTGGTGATCACAAGAGGAGGGGACGACACCATCAAGTTGTGGGATACGAGGAAGTTCAAGACACCTCTGAACACCACATCACATCCGTCAACGTCTTCACAATATCCGACATCGAACATCAAGTTTGCGCCCAACTCGCAGAGCATAGTCACAGGATCAGAGACCGGGCATCTCCACATCCTCAACCCAGCAACACTTCGCCCGGAGCTGGTCACACCAGTCACGCCAGGCTCTCCTCTGATAACGGTCAACTGGCATCCCAGGCTCAACCAAATTCTCACAGGTTCAGCCAACGGTCAAACAACGATCCTGTTTAACCCCAAGCTGTCCAAAGCCGGCGCTCTTACAATCCTTAGCAAGGCGCCCAAGAAGCGACACCTCGATGACGACCCATCCCTCACCGTAGACATGGACCCGCTGGGTATGGCTGGTGAAGCACACGATCCTTCTGGCAATGCAGCCTCGTTTTCCGCACGCCATCCCACCATCGGTCTCACAGCCTCGGGTAAGAGCCGCGACCCACGGAGACCGCATATCCCAGCTACAACACCTTTTGCTAAGTCAACGCCCGACCAAAAGTATGTCATGGAGCAGATTGAAGGCAGTGATATGAGGGACGAGGATCCTAGAGAGGCGCTGCTCAAGTATGCGTTGAAAGAGGGAGAGAAGGCTGTCTTTACCGGCGCGTGGGAGAAAACCCAGCCAGTTGGAATCTACAAGGACTACGACAGTGAGGAGGATGAGAGGGAGAAGAAGAAGGCAAAACGGTAGCCGAGCCGGGGCTGCATACCGACTTGGGATCCCTACAAGGGATGTTTGTATCATAGCGAAATATACCCAATAGCACAGAGACTATGGATTAGTCAAGCTATCAATCAATCCATACAATGATCACGGGTAAAGCTCCTAAGACACGAGATCCGGATGAAGACTTGGGCACCATGGGCGCACGTGTTAGTGCCCCTTATCATCCGACCTTGGTACCTTCGAAGCTACCCAGGCAGGGCTACACTAGCGTAGCCGCGTCGCGCCCCATAAGCAAACGCAAACAACCCCACTCGCCTCGCATCACGACAACCTCCAGCCCACAACCGCCAATTCGACCGCCACTCCCTCTGCAACCCACCAATTCCGCGCCAAAACCACCGCGACGATGTTCTCCACCACCTTCCGCGCTGCGGCCCGCGCACCCACCTCGACCTTCGCACGCAGCTTCTCGTCCACCCGCCCCTCGCAGGTCGCGCGCATGACCGTCATCGGCCGTCTCGGTGTTGCGCCAGAAGAAGTCACTGTCTCTGGCGACAGGACACTTGTGCGCTACGTAGTAGGAACGAGCTACGGCAAGGGCGAGGACAAGAAGACCAGCTGGTTCCGGATTGCGAGTTTCGTGCAGGGCGCGCAGAAGGATTTCCTGATGAACGTGCCCAAGGGATCGATGCTCTATGTGGATGCGGATGCGCGCATGGAGACGTACCTTGACAGCGAGGGCAACAAGAAGAGCAATTTGAGCTTGGTTGCACGTACGTTTTCGGATGCGGGTGGATGAGAGAGGTCATGCTAATTTGTCTGCAGGCAACTTTGATGTCTTGTCTCGTGCTCGTACTGAGGACACGGAGAATAACGACGAGGGCCTTGTTCAGGAAGCTTCTGGTTAGATGGGCAGTTTTGCTTGCTCATCCATCTTGCTTCGAACATAATGTCCCGTGGCGGCAGATTCTACAACAGTTCGAGTGGCAAGTGTTGGTCGCGGGGTAGGGAAGTTTCGATGAGACACGTCTTTGCGCGGCGCTGTAGGACCTTCTTATGGAGTTTCTCTTTACGATATTCAAATGTACGACTATGGGCTCACAATTCACTTTGTAAGATCTCTACTCTGGGAGTGGCGTGGCTTGGAATTTTACGGAATGATACCTTTTTCTTCATGACACATGAACATACAGTTACTAACAACGCAATTACGGGAGAAATTCTAGCAGCAAAGAGGCAAACTACGCACTCATGAGTTGAGCAGCTTGGTATACCGTATACCTATTGCATCTCGTCAGACTACCCACTTACGCACGGACGTGATGCGGCGAACGAAGACCTCCGAGTTGGCCCATCCCAACTTTTTGTGTCGCAACATCCGGACTCCAACACAGCACTTCACATAATGCACAGAGTCGTGCCGTTACCAGCGCGTCAGCTCTGGGGCCACGCACCCCGAGTACGGTCGGTCAATCGCTTCAGTCGTCGCCCACGCACATTCGCGACGGTGTCTGGCGCAGACCGGTACGCCACTCTACTATCACACCCCACCAATTAACCAAAACTGACACTTATGTAGGCCATACGATGTAATAGTCATTGGCGGCGGCCACGCAGGCTGCGAAGCCTCCGCAGCAGCAGCCCGCTCCGGCGCCCGAACGGCCCTCATAACGCCCTCAGTCCACAACCTCGGTGTCTGTTCGTGTAACCCTTCCTTCGGCGGTATCGGAAAAGGCACTATGCTTCGCGAAATCGATGCGCTGGATGGTGTCGTGGGTCGCATTGTGGATAAGGCGGGTGTGCAGTTCAGGGTGCTGAACAGGAAAAAGGGACCTGCTGTGTGGGGACCCAGAGCGCAGATCGATAGGGCGCTGTATAAGAGATATATGAAGGATGAGATGCTGGCATACAAGGGGTTGAGCGTTGTGGAAGGTAGCGTGGCGGACATCATCGTGGACAGGACACAAGAGGAGGGATCCAAGGGCCAATATGGAAAGATTACTGGTGTAAGGTTGGAGAGCGGGGAGATAATACCCACAGGGAATGTGGTCATCACGACTGGCACGTTTCTTGGTGGAGAAATACATATCGGTCTTGAGTCGTTCCCATCCGGGCGCATGGGTGAAGCGGCGACCTTTGGACTGAGCAAAAGTTTGAAGGATGCCGGATTCACAATGGGAAGGTTGAAGACAGGGACACCGCCACGATTGGACGGAAAGACGATCGACTACAAAGTTTTGGAAGCGCAGGAGGGCGATAACCCGCCCATGCCTTTCAGCTATCTGAACGAGCGCGTTCAGGTCGAGGACCAATTACTTAATCACGAGACACGAACGAACGAAGCGACGCACGACGTAATACGAAACAACCTCGACAAGTCGATACACATCCGCGAAACCGTAAAAGGGCCGCGGTATTGCCCATCACTAGAATCGAAAGTGATACGGTTCGCAGACAAGACATCACACATCGTCTGGCTGGAGCCGGAAGGTTTCGATAGCGACATAATATACCCGAACGGAATCTCCTGTACAGTTCCCGCAGACGTACAAGATACCATGCTCAAGACTATCAAGGGGCTTGAGAACGTGAAGATGCTGCAACCTGGCTACGGTGTGGAATACGATTACGTCGACCCACGGCATCTCCGTTCTACGCTCGAGACGAAGAACATCTCGGGTCTCTTCCTAGCTGGCCAGATCAACGGAACAACTGGTTACGAAGAAGCCGCCGGTCAGGGTGTAATTGCTGGCATCAACGCTGGCTTGAAGAGTCTAGGGAAAGAAGCCATGGTTTTGACGAGAGCGGATGGATACATCGGCATCATGATCGACGACCTCATCACGAAGGGTGTCTCAGAACCCTACCGCATGTTTACCTCTCGCTCCGAATACCGGATGTCTGCGCGCGCCGACAACGCCGACATACGTCTGACAGCCATGGGCCGAGCCGCCGGCGTAGTTAGCGACCTAAGATGGAAAGCTTTCGAAGACGAAGCCGAACAGATGGCCGCTCTAGCCCAAATCCTCCAATCCAAAACCATGGGCTGGACAGACTGGAACAAAGAAGGTTTCCCCGTACGAAATGACAGCACAAAACGTTCCGCATACGACCTCCTCCGCCTCCCCAACACCACTCCATCCAGCCTCACCACCCTCCTCCCCGACATAAAAGGCTTCTCACGCCGCATCCAAGACCGCGTCCACATCGAAGCCACCTACGCCCCCTACGTCGCTTCCCAAACCGCCACACAAGCCCGGTGGCTGAAAGACGAGAACCTCAAGTTACCAGTTGACCTTGACTACGAATCCATCTTTGGGCTTAGCTTCGAGGAGAAGAGGGCGTTGGAGGTAGCAAGGCCGGAGAGCGTGGGCATGGCGAGACGCGTTGAGGGTGTTACCCCGACGGGCGCATTGAGGTTGTTGCAGTTTGTGAGGGGCGTGGGCAAGGAAGAGAGGCAGGCGAGGATGAAGGAGGAGATTGAGGCGAGGAAGGAGAAGTATAGGGGTGTGGCGCAGGGGGTGAGTGTTGAGGGGTGGTAAGGTGCGTCAGTTTGGTGAGGTGAAGGGCGTGTAACATATGGCATTGGGCGGCGTTAGAAATCCTCAGATGCGACAATCAAGTCCGTACATTGCTTGTGACAGTTAAAGGACGACATTCAAGGTCGAACTTGCGGCCAACAGACGTCGAGGTCGCTGCTGCCCTCCAGGACGGTGCCCCGCTGTCAGATGACGTCGGCTCGCGGACGCGACTGCCAATCCAGACATCACATGATGCCTACCGTGCCACTCAGTCCCAACGACAGCGTTTCAAAATGGGGTTTCTTCCTGCTTCGCTGCAACCGCCTCATTCCACAATCTGGATTTTCCGTCTTCCTCTTCGACAACGAGATCGTCGATTTCTGCAGAGTACGCATCGGAGTGGGTTACGCTTACATATCGATTGGCATCATCATTGGATGCGAAGATGGAGAAGGAACGAAACGGTACGTCATTCTTATCTCAGTTGTTGGGCATGTGCATTCTTCTGTCACAATCTTCGTCGCGGTGGGGGGCTGGATTGTGGTTGCGCACCGAGAGGTGCTACGCCGCTGTCAGCTTGGGTTACTGTGCCGCTGGTGTTGAGCCCAGTCTGCGCTTTACTTGGACCCTATTATGCATGCGCTCAGAACGACTCCATCCCACCGGGCTACGCCGCCATTAGTTTGGGTGACTGCGCCTTTGGGATTCACTTGAGTCTGCACCTTACTTGGATCGGATTATGCAGTCGTTCCTGTATCCAGGACAAAACCGCCCCGGCATGCTACGCCTCCATCACCTTGGGTGACTGTGCCTTCGGGTTCGAGTCGAGGTTATTCCTTGACGCGGGTCAGATTACGCAGTCTTGTTTCTGTGCCAAAGAGGGGGCGGTCTCATTTTGAGTGCCTCCGAAGACGCGCGCGGATCAGTATACGTATTGTAAAGACGTTGGGTATAAGGGGATGCATTCAGAAGCCAGTTTGGATCCCAACATCTTCAAGGCTGTCTCGTTCTTCATCCTATTGCTTAGCTGATTCACAGTCATCTCGTACCGCTTTCCAAACTCCTTATTACAGCCATGAGACTCAACTTAGCAGTGCTTCTCTTCGTTCGGCTGGCGTCGTCGATGTTGTCTGCTAACCTCAACGCCGCAGAATCCCTGGAGCAAGTCAACAGCGAAGGAGCACCACAGAAGGATGTAAGCCCGCCAGTCGATCAACACACTGCCACCTTCGAGCCTAGAGACGTGGCGCTCGGATCTACCACCGTTGAAGTGCAGCAGGATGTTTCGTCTGAAACCCGAATCTACACAGTCTGGGCAAGCGATGTCCACAATGAAGCCCAGGTCAACGAAACGCGCACTTGGCTCAAGGGCCTTGTCAAAGACAAAGACAAGATGCGTGATGAGCTAGGATGGAACTGGGACACTGTCGAAGACCTTCCTGCAGATGAGGTAAGCCATGGATGTACGAAAGGCATGGGAGATTTACTGACTTCTTATCTTTT